CCCCCCCCCCGCCCCGGCCCGGGGGGCCGGGGCGCGCCTGGGGGGCGGGGGGGGGGTTTCCCGGGGGGGGCAGCCCGGAGCCGAGGAGCCACGGTCGCCGCCTGGTGCCTTAATAGCTCAAAGGGGGCTAATACAGAAAATGAGCCTTAAACGAGCTCTGGAGATCTCCAAATGAAAGCGCCGTTTATCACGCTGGCTACCTCCCCTCCGTTCGTTTGCTCTCTCTACTGGGAACAACTCATTTCCCCTTAACTAAATTACTTCAGAAATGTCAAGGAAGCCCGGATCGCAAACATCACCAGACCGGGGCGGGGGGGTAGCCGCTGCGCAGCCGCATCATATTGCATCTCAACCCAGCAACGGCGCAGAAAACAGAGCCAGCGAACCAGGCTCTTTCTTCAGCTCCAGAGAGAGAGAGAGACAGAGAGAGAGAGAGGAACCCTGAAAGGGCTCCGCAAGACCCAGCCTTAAACACGGGAAGATCAGATTAACAGTGTCAACTAGCATGGATTTATTGGGAAGAAAGCCCAGTGGAGGTGAAGTGTCTGCTATAAACTCTGGCGAGCGCGGGAATAAACTTCTGGATAGCTGAAGTCTGGTGCCGCGGAGAAGCCAGTTTGGTTTTGAAGTAGAACGCAGAAAAATAATTAGTACAGTATTCCAATCCGAATCGTCTGTTCCTCACGTGTAAGACTGTCTCTCAAGGATTCTGCCCTACCTGGTGGCTGGGTTCACACAACCTGATAAACTGTGGTTTACAAACTGCATTGGCTAAACCAAAGCCCACCAAAGCAAATGATTAGGATCCAGATAACCACCTTGCTTGTTGTGACTTAGCATATTGTGCGAACAATGAAAAATAATTATCATTATCATTATTATTGCTGGTGTAAGTAGGAGTTAAGATGTTAGAGTATGACTGGGGAGACCTCAGCCCTGGAAGCCCCCTGGATGACTTTGGGCCAGTCACATTTTCTCAGCTCAGTCTACCTTGCAGGGCTGTTGTGTGAGGAAAAATAGATATTGTCCTGTGCTTAGATATAATTATATGGTAAATAAAAGCAGTACAGTACTAAACACCACCACTGAGGTTTGTTAACCATGGTTAATAGAACACTTCGTGCCAAGGTAGCCACGAGCAAGCTGTCCCTCTTGAAATGGAAACGTGCTTGAGAGGATTTGGTGTGTGATGGCTGGTCTAAGCAGCAAGTGTAGAATATACAGGTATGAACTACTGTTGCTCCAAGAAGTTGCTACCTAAAACTTTTACCTGAATTTTCACCAAGTTAGCTAGATTCATAAGCAGGAGGCAAGAAGCAGATAACGTTAAGAGGAGGAAAGGAAGGATGACCTGTTATACGTAGAGAAAGCTATCTGGGGGAGAGGAGGGCATCACACTCTGAGGCCAAAGTAGCAATAAAAAATGACAGATATGGCCATTACTTTTAGAGGCCTCCATGCTCATAAAAACCAGGCTCTAAGGGATGAGCTATTTGTATTAATAATGTATCTCTTTAACGTATCTTGGTCACAAGGATATTTTTGTGCTAGAAAAACGGGGAATGGTCTGAGCAAGAGGGGAGTCACTCCCATTTCCCATCAATTCAGCGGATGCTAGAGAAAGAAGTGGCCAGAGGCGTTCCCAGGGGAATCCTCCACTTACTTGGAGCAAGCCCCCAACAATGAAACACAGAACCATAAACTAGTCAACATATTTTAGCAAAACATGTTGTGCGAACCCAAACATTGGACAAGCTACGATTCAGTTAACCAAGGTAAGCAAGTACTATGATCCCGCACCCACGGACCGAGATTTTGTGTACAAAAGGCCGCTGGTAGGTGGTGCCTAGCATCTGGGTGACGGAGGTTCTCAAGCTGGAGAAGGAGCTACCTTCCCCAGGAGGTATTATAAAGAATAGTTAATACATTTCAAGACTGTGATAATAAACTTATTCACCTGGAAATTAAGCCCCAAGGCTTTCAGTGGAACAGATGTCCGATAAACACTCTATTCCTAGGCTATTTATTCCAAAGTAAACTCCACTAAGGCCATTTCTTCACTTGTGATTTATAGCATTATCCATCCATCGCAGGGCCGACATATCAATAATGAAGGCAGGCTTTCTGTGGCCACACCGATAGTTGGGTGATGTTATAAATCACTCCTGAGAAAATGCCTCAAGGCCTATTTTCCAATCCTAAACATGCTTAGCCTTCATGGGTGAAAATACTTAGGATTGCGCTTTCTGTTCAAGCAACAGGATCTAGACTGAATTATTGAATAGATGAGCAGAAATCAGTTCCAGGCTCATTTCTAAACGCTGTATCAGGGTAGCAAGCAGCATCTGGATGACATCACCGCTGCTTCTCCCCACTCTGCTTCTTACTCAATCCGCATTTACTTCTTAAGGAGCTGAAAAGAACAGCGCTACTTGGGTCACGCGTTCCTCAGTTAATGTATTTATTTCCCAAATGGCTGCCTCGCCATTCCCGAAGAATGCTTATGAACTCTCCTTGAAGGTTGATTTCCAAATAGACTGGCAAGAAAAGTAGAACCCACGTTAAGCCTGGGAAGTCAATGGGATCGTGCAAGAGGGGGTCCACAGCAGAGTGAGTCTCCTGCGCCTATGCCGTCCTTGGGTCAGACTAAGCCCAGTCTGATCCCAAGCCTCTGGATAACCCAAGTCACCCAGCACAGCGCACAGACGCCCCGAGTACGAGACAGGACCAGGTTCTATCCCACCCAAGCGCCGGAAGGGCGGGGAAAGCACTCGAACTGGCCCGAACCCCAGAGAGCTCTCGATTTATTCTGTGGTTCTCAATCCCAGACAGGCCTTCTAGGGGAGGAAAGCGAGCCCCGTTAATTCGGGTAGGGTTGTTCCTATTGGGGTAAGTGTAGAGAGGACAAGAAAGGCAGCCAAGGTTAGGGAGGTTTCGCACTTCTTGGGGCAACCAGCTGAATTTCAGTGCGACTTTCAGCTGCTAATTAAAGCTCCCTCCCTCCTTCAGTAGTTTTGCGCAGGGAGGGGGCGTGTCTCTCCCCCGAGCCTGTCAAAGAAATTCAAAACGAGAAGGAGGGGGCATGAAGCAGCTGCAATACGCTCAAAATGAGTTATTGTAATTACATTTAATTAGTTTAATTAGTTAATTATTTTGCTTACAGCTGTACAAGAGATTGCAAACATTTGTTAAGATCACGTTCCCTCTACTAGTGTGGGGCGAAGCCACACACTTACACTAAATCACGTATGCCTGTGTAGACAAATGGAGCGTGGGGGATCCCGCTCTCCTCGCCTTTTCCTCTTGAACAGAGGCGCAGTAACCTCATTCTGGCCCACAAGTACTAAAAAAAAAATGTCCCCAAGGAGGACCATCCCCTGCTTGCTTACACGGAGGAGGTTGTCCCACTATGACCCGTACTGTATTCCCAAGTTAAGCACGCCTACGATGCAGCCTTCTGCTCTCGGAGTGGCTCAAATCTTTTCTACCTAGATCTAGGTACGTGCACACAAGCGAGAGGTGGGAATCCCCAACCTTCAAAACTTTCAAGGATCCGAAGCAGTTCCTTCTGGCAAAAGCCGTTGCTATGTAAGAGAGCAAGTGGCACTGAAAAGCAAGGCAACGTTTTCTGCAAGCGCTAAGAGTTCCTTCTCTCTCTCTCTCTCTCTTTTTCTCTCTCTCTCTCTTTCTCTCTCCTTTAAACAGAAGAGCTAAAATGAAAAGACAGGGCAGTTTTTCATCCATCCCGGAAATCACATGTCCTACTTAGGAGCAAGTTCCGCTCATATCCACCCAACCCTAAACATTGCTTGGAAAAAAGTTCCAGCAAAAACAAAAACATGTCAGTCAAGAATCGGGTCTCTTGCTGAGGATGCTGGGGCTAATTCCCACAACCATGAGCAGCAAGGGAGAGTTCTCCCCTAGGACTAGGAAAAAAGGCTCCGTCACAGGCAGGGAGGCTAGATTCCCAGCCAATTGGCTGCTTCATTCAGCATCTCTGGCTGGGGGTAACAATTACTTCAAAATCCATAAATTCCAGATATGGAATCAAATCAGGACACCAGGTCCTTCCTTTCGGAAACTTGTATAGCTTTCCCTGTATACAAAACACACAATCCCCTCCTCAATGCTCTACTTGGGAGAAAGCCCCTCTGGAATGGGGTAGGGGGGGTTACTTCCAAGGAGGCCTGAAATGCCTCTGCAAAATGCCCACAAATACCCAACAAAACTGTGCAACAATTGAAAAGTTGCCCATACCTTTTTTGATGACTGACTGGTCCAGCAAGTTCATGCCGCTGTTATTAGCATCTTCTACTGCCTAAGGACAGAGGGGGAGAAAGAAGGGAAAAATCACTATTCAGATTTCCTGGCTCCTACCAAGTGCAAAGAGGTGCATAGAGCTGGACAAAGGCCATACTGTCTCAAATTCATTTAGGACCTGGAACCTCTGTTATTTCCAGGAAAAGCAATTAACTGGGGGGAGGGAGATGTTTCCATATTAAAATGATGTGAAAATGAAGCTTTCCTCTGCTAGGGATCTAGGGTAAAATAAAAAAAGTGCAAGATGTGACCCTGTTGTTTCTAATGACTCAAGAGACCAAGTAACCCATCAACAGTGCTCAGCCTTTATTCCCTGGAGCCCTACAATTTTGGCTTTTGTATCTGTGCAAGCCACTGGCATCTGCAACTAACACCTTTGAGAGGTGACAAGAAGTTAGCAGCGGGTGCATGTTTGCTTGGCAAGAAAACTCTTGAATTTGCCTACTTCCCTTCTTAACTAGGTGTTATTGGAGTTCCCCTGCACTCAGCAGGGCTTGTCCCAAGAAAATAGGTACAGAGCTTTGCTCTGGGAGAAAGTAAACAAGGGAGGCTTTACATTTCTCCTTATAAGGATCAGTGGCTCGCTGTAGATTCATTGTGCAATTTATGCTGCCGAGGCTCTGATGGGTGTTGCTATAGATCACGAGTATGGAAATGACCTAAGACCTGGAAATCAACCCAATTAGGCTTTGGAATTAGGCAGACCTATGCAAAAGTTACCCAACGGTCTCCAGTCCACCAACTCTAAGGGTTACCAACTGGGGGAGGGGCACCACCCCATGCACAGATCAGTATTTGACATGATCCATTGTTGGAGATTTTTCACTTAAAGCAGAAAATAAAATATTATTCCAAGGCTTATTTCAGCATTTTGAGTTTATTACCACGCTCTTTTATGGGACAATTGACTTCCATGTTTTAGAGGCGAGGGAGAGGAAGAGAAATTGCAATGACACAGAAGGCAGTGCAAAGAAAATGAGTGGTGGCAGTTCTCAAATATACATTATGACGCTGAGCCACACATGGCAGGAATAAAGAGGTGACTTCAGCTTTTATTTATTTCTGTACAATCTGACTCCTGCCCTTTCTGGAGTGTGGGAGGGAGCAAAGAATAGATGGGAGAGGAGTAGTAACCAATTGGCATAATTATCAGTCTCCCTGTAAGGGCAACTTTTGCTTTTGACATCAGAGGTTCATCACTACTTGAGGTCTGCTGTCAGTGACAAGGGAGCAAGAAGCCCTGAACTTTTGCCGAGGACTTCCATGCACATGATCCTAGTTAAACAGATTAGGACTGCAAGGAAACTTAATTTTAATATTGGTTTAGGTAACCTGAGCTTGTTATTTTCCAAAGGCTGATAAATTTGTACCTGGATCATATGATGCTAGCATGCAAATCAGAGGATGGTAAACTCTGATTAATCACTAGCCAGTTGGGAAGATGGGAAGCCAACACCTTTGGACATTATAGGAGAACAGCCATGTTAGTGTATGGTGGCAAAAGAATCAGGAGCCTGACAGCCCCTTTTCTGACTAACAAATTAAATGGTATTGAAATACAGCTCACAAAAGCTAATGTATTTTAATAAAATGCTTTCAAACACTTCTGAAGAGCATTGGACTGGGGAGGTGTCCCTTCTGTATTGGCAGATGTGGTGTTGCACCATACACACTCTTGGGAATCAGTCCTATTGAGTAAAGGGGCATTGCTGCTAAGTAGTCAGCGATGGGACTGCACTGTTAATATCCTCCTGAATGATAATTACCGCTTCTTACATGTAGCAACTCGCAATGGACAGAGCATCTTGAAAGGAGCAGGGGAGTCCCCCTACAATTAATTAAGCCCCTCCCATTTGTATCAGGAGCATTTCCTGCTACATTTATATGAACTCAGCCAGCCTGAATCTGCTTCAGTTTATCAAGACAGACTGCTTATTTCAGAAGTAGGTTCCCTGTTTTCTCTTCCATTAAATAATAGACAAATTAGCCATCATGGCTCAGTGATAAAGAAAAAAGAAATGGCCATAATTTCATGTAAAACTAGAATATATCATTCCCCGCTCCCTTGTACATGGCAAGAACATGATCTGGTCACGCCCTTTCTCTTCTCCTGCTTCTCAGCCCAAGTTAAATATTGATTACATTCCCTTAAGTTTACATCAATTTAGGTTGCTGTCTTACTGAAGTTATACGCTGTCTCACACTGCCCATTACATCAAACTGGTTAATATATTTCAGATCAAGGTGCTGTGTGAACCCAACCAAGGATTCAATTCAGTGTATCCTGGAAATTCCAAAACTGGTGTTGAGTAAACCATGGTTCAATTTACTATGAGTAAATGTCTTGTGTGGACACAGTCATGATTCAGGAGAGGACAGCTGAAATCCAGAGAATTAATTGCGCTCTTCCAAGGCGTTTGGCTCATCCAGTTGCTCCAGAGCTTCAGGGAACACTAGAGAGCCTTGAGCAGGACTCCCAACCATTTCATGTGACCGTAGAGAAACAAGATGCAATATATGACTGGCAAGTGAACATATATCTATGAAATCAACCCACTCCAGAGTTTGGGGGCTGAGCCACTCAGAGGCCAGGTATGGTTCTGGGCACCCCAGTGCCCTAAACCAAGGTCCACATTTCTGGCTCTCCTTTTGGATGGCAGCCTGCATTCCATTTTATTCAAGGTTTCCTGCATCACCCTGGTCAAGTCACTTATAATTTGGTCCTAAACGCATTGTCTCGAAAGTAGGCCTGGCAGATGGAACAGACCAGAAATCCAAACAGCCTTCCTCCAGTTCCACACCACAGAAGCAGCCAACAATTCATCCCCACCATCTGGAAAGTCCACTGCCTTCTGAGAGGTTGTAGTCTTGGGCCACATTTTACTTTGGACTTTCCTTGGCAATGGCACACTGGCATGACATAACTAATGCATCATAACCTGTGCTTTGTTTATTTGTTCATTCATTCATTCATTCATTTATCAAATGTATATAGCTGCCCATCTCACAGATCCACATCATTTGGGGGGTTTGCACCCCACACTGACTCCTAAACTCAGCCAGAACACCACATCCCATTCCCACCACTCAGCCAGCCAGAGTGTGTGGGGTGAACCTCACCAGTAGTTCTCGCATCTGCAGTGCTACCTAGATCTGGAAAAAGACCTGCCCACAGCAGCTTCTCAGACTGGGAGGAAGCAGGAACTCCTATAAAGTGATTAAAGTTAGTTATCATGCTCCTTCCTCCTCCTCACTTTTATAGTTTCAGGTGAGCTTTTAAGAATACAAGAAGAGCTCCTCTGAATCAACAGCCATGAGGCGACTGCTCAAAGAGCCGCAGCTCTCTAAACAAGGTCCCATGTTCTCCATAGGTTTATTCTATGCCAGCGGTGTATGGGGATGGCGGTGGGTTTTAAACTGCCTACATCATATTTTCCTGGCAGATTTTTTTTCAGGACAGAATGAAACGTTCATCTGCCAGTTTGTCATTAATCTGGATTCTCTAGGCTAACGTCACCCTTCTTTGCGGAGGCAGGCGGATGAGCGGGGCTACTTCGGCCAAGAAGTTCCGCACGACCTCCGCTCCTTTCCGACTCTCCTCCCTCCCCCCCCCTCCTCCAGAATGTGGCTGAGCTGTTGTAGTTAATGAGAAGAGTCTTGTCTGATTTTCTATCTAATTACGGCCGCCTGCTGGGTTTTTGTACAGGATATTCGCGCAGCATGCTGGCAGTTAATAGTCACAGAGAGAATCGTAAAGATTTAATTAGGACTGCGCGCGGAAACGTGGAAAGAGGCGCGCGCGCGCACGGATAGCCATCCACCTACACAAACTCCCACGCACCTCTCAGACGTTTAACTGTTAGGTTTCTTTAGTTGCAGAGTTCGCGTCCCCAACTCGGAGCCCTCCGAAGGCATTGGACTTCAGCTCCCAGAATTCCCTGGGTCCCGCTGGCTAGAGATGATGGGAGCTGAAGTCCAAGACTCGGAGGTTTCGCCTGCCACAAAACTTGGTCTCTTCATTTAGGAGAAGCGGTAAGCAGAGAGAAGACGCAGAGGATGAAATAAGGGTTGGGGCGGAGAAGAGGGGAGACCACTAATGACCTACCACCAACTGAAGACATTTCTCGCCAGTCGACTTAATAAAATCAGGGTGAAGGGGGGGTGGGGGATTGAGTGTGAGGGTGGACATCCCCAGTCCATCGTCTTCCTCGCGGACGCTTGCTCGGAAGTCACCTATTGCCAAGGGATTCATTTTCACATCCATTTGCAAAAGTGGGCTTGCAACCTGATGCACGCTCATCCGGGCCGAAGGCTCCTTGAACTCCGTGGGAGACACGTGCACGAGGGCGCCCCATCGAGGCACTTCTGTCAGAGGGAACTCCTGGGGCTACCCTTCCAGTCCCGAGCTAAAGAGCGCCTGGCTGCAAATGAGTATTTTGCTCGAGACTCCATTCAATGGGATGGTGAACCTGTTTCTGAAGCTACTTTGACTCACATGCGTGGAAAACCTGCAAGACCATCCATTTTGGAAGCAAGGCCTTAAAGCTGAGACTCTGACTTGGGAGTAAGCCTCCCTGGTTCCCCTTTCATCATCTTCCAGGTAATAAAATTTGCAACGGAAGTGATAAGTGAAGCAAAACCAGTGAACGGCTCACTGGGCTGTGGAACTGGGAACGGCGACGTGTGCCTGAGAGAACTATCCAATATTTCTAACGGTAATCTCATCAATATTTATCTTAATCTCTCCCCTCCACACACAGACACATTCTGATGCAGACAGCACTCTGCATGAGTGTATATCATACCTGATATCATAGATAAGTCGACCTTCACATTTTAATTAAAGACTGGGCAAAATTGCAAGGATGTTCCTGGCATACACACGTGTGTACGCCATAACGCTTGATCGATCAAGTTCTCCCATCTAACTTTAATTTACGGAGGAGATTAAGAAATAAATACCATCCATTTGTTACATATGGGTGGGTATTCACGATGCATATACTGTAAGAGTTCAATCCTATATCTATTCAGAAATAAGTCCCACTGAATTTTGAAGTGAAATTTTTACTTTGAAAATTAGAAGAATTCCATCTAATCACCAACAACTGTTAACCATTCATGAATTCCTGTCAGCAGAATTTTGCAATTATTTATAAAAGTTCCAACTCAGAATGGACAGGCCATAATGGTATCTGTAGATGCAGCAAATTTAATCCGTTTAGCTAAGGCACCTGTCAGTCTCACGCCAGAATACTTATAGCACAATAAATGGAACGATCTCTTCAAACCCATTATCACCAACAATACACGTTTTGTGTCATCTAGAACAACTTAAAATTGGATCTCTTAGGAGGATAATGGAGTGTTTGGATAATCTTGTTCTCTGTTCTTTCAACAGTGTTTATCCTTTAACAGGCCAGTCGCAATTATGTAAACCCAACTTCCATTGAACTTCAAGTCTATGATCTCAATGAGATTTTAAACAGGTTAACTTTTCCTGAGATAACACAGTGACTTAGACTAATTTTGAGCCGATCCATGACTTAAGGAGCTTCTTGCTGCTACTTCTCACAGAAAAAAAATAATTTCTAAAAAAAGGATGAGTGCATGACTAGGGTGATATGTGGAAGACCCAAAGCTATTAACCCAAGATCGCGCAACATGCACCCTGCCCGTCTTGATTACAGCTGCCCACAGGCTCTGTTGGATCACTTTTGGGGCACTCTCTTACACACTGCCACTTGTCAGGCTGTCTTCTAGGCACCTTTGGCATGAAAGCAAGTGCCTTGGAGTAAACTTGCACAGGGTTGGACTGCATGTGGTTGGGGGCAGAATTCTGCATGCCCAAAGACCCCTCCTCTTGTTCAGAAGAACAGAAACCCTGCAAGTCACCGGCAAGGGATGTGTAGTTCTTAATTTCTTCCATCTCTACTTGCCTGATTTCTTTTGGTTACAGTCAGATACCTTCCTGTTCAGCCTACTTAAGTGAAGGGGGACAAGATGCATCTTCTTTCAGTTTCCCTCCCCTTTTTCCCCCAGAAGCCAAATAAAGTCCTGTATTATAATATAAAAGACACCTGGGTTCTCCTTATCTAGATTCAGCTAAATTCCAAAGAAGTAAATAATCACCTTAGAAAAGTGTGAAGGACTGTTAGAAGGGAAAACAAGGTATCTAACTTTATCTGGCAAACATCCTTGAAAATGTAACACATCACAAGGCCTTTCCCTTTTCTCTGTTTCTACTCCTGAAGGTGCTCTCTAAGCAGTCATGTCAATTTTCTATGATAATTCCTGATAAGCAATTTCTTGCCTACAAGAGGATAATTTCAGAAATTTTATAATATGTGTCTTTCAGAATTAAACTGCCTTTCTTTGTAAAGGCACACACCTAATCCAGGGGAGGTAAGGGGATACAGTTGGTTATTGTAATCTCAACCGCTGGCTAGAGCCCTCCAGAACTCTAGGTTTGGGACGGGGCAGGGGGTAAATCTGTGGGCAAAGTGGAGAGTCAGTTTCCTTTGGATTAGAAGGCAGAGGGTCCTTTTCCCAGACGGCCCTTTCTTGTGATCTGCCTCATTTCATTGCTTTCTCCACTTCAGTCTGGCAGCTTTAAGAAGTAGAAAAAGGAAGCATCGGTTTTGCCTAGTGGATGGTTACCCTTAAGGGAAAAAGCCAGGATCGGGCCTGCTAAATTGTAGCGTTCCTCAAGCAGTTGCATGCTGAAATCCTCGGACTGAGTCCAGAAAGGGTTGGTGGAAAACACGCACACAAAACCACCCTGATTGTGAGAAACGCAAAACCTTAGTGCTCCCCCCACCCCACTTCCTAACATTTGAGCTGCAAAACACGCAGTCTGGTCAGTGAGCCCTCTTTTCTCCATATTATTTGCTCATCTCCCTGCTCCAGCTTTCGCTTTGGAAGGTTATTTCCAAAGAGAGATCCCCCACCCCACCCCTGTAATGGGCAGCCAAAGCCCAGGGATGCGCTGATTCCAAGGCATTTAGCCGGACACGGACACCAGAGAGAGAGAGCCTGCTGTGCCCAGGGTCCGGCTCCAAGGCCAGAGACCATAGGAGCTCAGTCGCTAAGAGCGAGGCCACACAATATAGGCTGAAAAGGACCCCCTTCCCAGAACAAACACCCTACTAACTACTCTCTACCAGCTTCTTTGTCAGTCACTGTCAAGTGCTTCAGACTTGGATGTCTAAATTGGAAAGAGGGAAAGCCAGACTAAAACTAAGACAGGCCCGGTGCTGTGGAGGACTGGGCTGGGACACAAAGTCCTGGGCTCCCCCAAGCTGGCCTCCTTCTGCCCGGTCTGGGAGCGCCTGGAATTTAAATCTTTCCACCCAGCCTTTTTCTTCGAAGGCCGGCAGCTCTAGGCCAGCCTGGGGGGGTAGAGAAGAATGGTGTGTTAGGGACCAACAGGACTCCGCAGGTCAGGGAAGGGACAGGGAGTCGGAGTTGGGGTCTCGCCATTTCTTTCCACATCCTCGAGAATCTGGAGCCCGCCGGCTGGGTGCTCGCCCCATCCTTGCCAGCCATCTCCACTTGGGAATGAGTTCTCTGGGGCTCGGGAGAGTGTGGCGGGACCAGGCCTGTGAGGACCAAACCTTGCCGTCGCTCTGTGGAAAGGCAGGGCTGCAGTCCGGAGGAGCCCGTCGCGCCTCGGGCAAGTGGCCGCAAGGAGGCGGCGGAGTCCCCTCTTGCAAAAGCCAGGCCTGCTCCGGAGCCTGGCGGGGCAAACTTGCCTGGAGCAGCAGAGCCCTTTAGGCCACTTCGTCGGGCCGATCGATGGCGGCATGCAACCCAGCCTGCACTGGTATCACAGCGGCTTCGAGCCCCAGAAGGTTCCCAAGGCTGCACAATAAACTCTGGCGGGGAAATGGCCCTAGCTGGGAAAGCAACCCGCCACGACGGTTCCGGAGCCCGATTTCCCGCCGCCGCCGCCGGCCTCCCGCGTGGACTTACCTGCACATCCTCCATGCCAGGGTGCCCGATGCCGTGGAGAGAAAGCGCGTCGCCCATGCCGGAGTCCAGGCCGTGGTGAGCCGAATGGAGAAGGACGTCTGGCCGCCGGACGGAGTGGTAGTCCCGCCGCGGGTCGAGGCCCGAGAGCTGCGGCAAAGAAGCCCGCGGCTGGGGCAGCAGCGAGCCGGCCTCGGAGCCCACCTCTTGCCGCTGCCGCTGCCCCCAGGGGTGCTGCTGGGGCTGGTGCAGCGGGTTCAGGGCGTAGGGGTCATTGACGTGGGAGTAGGGGTCCTGGCTCTGGTGGTAAGGAAGAGGCTGGTAGGGCGGCGGGAAGTAGGGCGGCTGGAAGTCCGAGGAGGGGGTGTGAGAGAGCGGAGGGGCGCTGGAGTAGGGGCCTTGAGAGACCGAGCCCAGCTGGGACAGCCGGGAACTGTGGCTGGGGACTCCATCGTGCCGGTCCTGGAGGGGGCGGTTCAGGCCCCAGAAAGAGATACAGA